CCATGCAGTCACAGAGACCGCATATGCTGTCTTCTCAGGCTGCTGTGTGTTTGCCCTAAGGTTCACACAGGCAGTTGTGGAGCTTTGCTAGAATGTCCAGCCAGTGCAGAGAGGTGAATCCTCTTCTCAGGGTCCATGTACAAGCCCCACAGCTCCAAGCCACACCAACCAAAGGGACAAGGTCATTGAGGCCTGTGACAGCAGACAGACCCCTCTGCGAGGAGGGGCAATTGGACACCACTTGAGGATGGCCAGTTCAGTCAGGGTAGGAAGGAAGAGAGAGTAGAAAGGGCAGAGGCTGCACTGCTGGGTCCTGGGTGAGGGAAGAAGAGAGGGGATATGGCGGTGGGAAGTGTGCGGAGGAGGCAACAGGGTGCAGGCTGCTAGTCTCCAGCTCCACAGCCTGGCTTCCTCTCTGCCCTTGAGGCTGGCCACTTCCTGGGAGGCCCTGCATTCCGTGGGGAGCTGCCCCTGGCTGTGGCCCATGTGGAGAGCTCTGCCCTGAGGCAGATGCATGCAAGCAGGAGAGCAGGCATAGTCCCGACAGACTCCATCATGAGGGCTTTAGCTCTGCAAGGCCTGGCATGCGCATTAACAAGGCCTTAGCAGTGATGCTGGGATGGTGGTGTGATGTCTGCGTGGGAGCTGTCATCCTGAAGGAGCTGCCATGCCTGGGAGGCAGCTGTGGGAAGTGGTCTGACTAGTGTCTAGTGGCACAAATGTCTCCAGAGTGCTTGTACAGTAATACCCACACTTAAATAGAAGCCCCTGGCCATCAGCTAATAGATAAGACCTTAGCCCTGCAGGCCTACCTGCTCCGTAGACCACTGAGTACACCACCTTCTTGGTCTGTTCTCTGTCTGCTGGCCTCACGTGCTCCACGGGAATGTTCTTCCTGTGCAGAAAGACAGTGTCTTCAGACACGGTTGACCTGGTCTGCCAAGGGGGCAATGGGTTGGAATCCTGGGATCGTGCTGTGTCCCTCACTGTTTTGAGCCAGATGGAGAGATAAGAGATGACATGTTGCCACCTGGGTGGAGAGACACGTGACACCCCTAGCATCCTGCTGCTGTACGGCCTGTCATACACTGGTGTGCAGAGGCCAGCCCCATGTTCTGCATGCCACAAACCAAAGTTGAAAACTGCCTGTGTTGAGGGACATCCATCCAGCAACAGCAGGCCTCATTCCATGCTGGGATGAACGGCTGCCAGAGGGGTGAACTGGCTTTTGATCCTTTCCAGTGCTCTTTAGGCCTGGACAAGCAGCCTTCCTCCAGCCCTAACCTTATCACATGCATGGGGTGGGTGAACTGCCTGGGGCTACAGTATTCAGACAGAATAAAGATCAATTCTACACCTGACCCACAGCAGTCTCCAAAAAATACAATCAAGAGAGCTGGGGCCAGTGAGAGAGCTCAGTGGGCTAAAGCACCTGCTTAGGCAAGCGCAGGGACCACGGTTCCATCCCTGGTACCACATGCTGTGCCAGCCCCACTCCCAGGGCAGGCTGAGCTGTAACAACTAAATACATTGAGGGAGAGAGAGAGAGAGAGAGAGAGAGAGAGAGAGAGAGAGAGAGAGAGAGAAAGAGAGAGAGCGCTGAAAAGCAGAAGGCCCTGCAAATGCCACTGAGCCATGCCTGCTTGCCTAGCACTCCTCCCCTTGACAGTCCCGTGCCTGGGCACTGCCAGTCACATTTGCAAATCCTTAGCCTCTATGCCAGGTCTCCCCATCAGGTTGGGCACACAGTGTCAGGCGCCAACAGAGAAACAGGAAAGCTCTCCCAGTCTTTGTGATGGGCTCTGGGCACATATGGGGTGGGAACACTAAAATTCTTAGATGCCCTGTTCCTAACTCTCCTTAGCCTTCACTTCCTTCATGCTCTTGAGAGAGCCTTGAGACAGCCCCAGATGAAAACTCAAAGTACTTTTTTTCTGAGCATGGAAGCTATCTATGAAGACTTCCTCGTAGACATGAGTGCTTTTGAGTCTTTCTCTGCAGCTTTTCCTCCCCAGCTGTCATTTCTGTTGTTTGCCTCAGCTATAATCTTTTCTTGAGTGCATTCAGAGTGTTGGCCTTCTGACATTTCCCCGCAGGTCTGTGCTGTCCTTCAGACAACACCAGACAAGTGAGAACCAAGCGCTTGCTTCTTAGTGCAGCAGGCAGCTCTGCTTCCTCAGAACCAGGGACAGGGCCCACAGACAGCAGCACAAGGCCACCACAGGGGAGCAGTGGGGCAAGCAAAACATACCGAGCTCCCCTACCACTCTCCACTTGCCTTTTCTTGACACCTTTGCCTGCCGGGGGAACCTTGTCCATTCTCTAGAGCTCCAAGAAGATGGGTTCTGGGAACTTAGGTGGACTTGGGGCTTGCTGCAGGGGACGGGGCTGGGCTGCAGATCTGCATCCGCCTCCACTTTCACAGGTGCCTTGCACACCATCAGTTTTCACATTTTGATTTCTAAGCATCAATCATTTTTTGTTTTCCCTTTTCTTGCTGGGTCCAGTGGTTTTGTCCTATTGTTTATCTTACCTTAAATTTGATTTTATTAAGAGCTGTATTTCGACAGGAAGCAAAGTGTCAAAACGCATCCATGTTGAGGACAAACACAGGCCCGCTCCTGTCATACTCTCTGCCCCACTGTGCCCATTTTGGAAATCCTGTACATGCTCTCAAGCTGCTGATACATGTGCTCAGAAATCCCTGAAACCCCAAAACCAACTAACCAACCAGCCAAGAAAGGCTTCCACTGTGGCCCTCTGGGGGCACCAGCAATGAGCAGGTAGTCTCGCTAGTGACAGCTAGAGGAGAGAGGGGCCATCTGGAGAAGGCTGTGTCCTCTTGGCCAAGCCATGCCGGTGACCCTGACCTCCCCTGAGTGCAATGTCCCCCGCTTGGGCTCACTGTCTGCAGAGGCAGCACTAAAGCCCCCCAGCACCTGCTTCACAGAGGAGCAGACTGACAGACCCAAGTAGCCAGGTAAGTAGACATCGTGGATCCACATCAAACGGCACTCTCTGATGGCAGAGAGAGAACTTCTTTCTCAGTACATAGGACGCTATTCGCAATAAGCGATCTTATATCAAGATAATACAGAAAACGACAAAACTTTGCATAAAGTAGAACTATTAAATGAACACTTTCTGATCACACTGCAATAAAATTAGAAATTAAAAAACAGCCTTCCATCAGGAAGTAAACCAAAATAAATACAACAATAATTAAAACATTTTAGGGCTGGTGAGATAGCTCAGTGATCTAAAGCACCTGCTTAGGCAAGCTTAGGCAAAGCGCAGGGACTGCGGTTCGATCTCCAGCATCACATGCCATGCCAGTCCCAGACTGAGCCGGCCACACACAAAAACAAAACTCATTGCTATTAGCCATCTTTGGTGTGATGGGAAACACTAACAGAGATAACCTAGTTTCCAATGAAAACTGCATATTAGAACCAAGGGATTACATATAAGCCAGTGAGGAAGTGTCATAGCTCCAAATTCCTCTATTAATAAAAATGAGAACAAGTTTACATTTGTAATTTTAAAAAGAAGGAGATCAAGGAAGTACATGGAAAGAATATAAAAAGAAGGGAATGACAAAACTAGAATAAAGGTAGGAGCAAAAATTAATAAAGTACAAAACAGAAAAATAGTAGATTGAATTAATAAATAAAAATTCTGGTTCTTATACAAAACAAAATAGACATATCATTAGCAAATTTCATAAAAAACTAGAAAGCACAAATACACAGTCTAAGAAACAACAAAGGAAAATAACTACTGTTATGGGAGAAGTTTAAAAAAAATTAAATATTTTGTGGCACTCTATAAAATAAATTTGAAATCCTAGATTAGATGGACAAAGTTTAGTATAGTTCTAAAAGTTAACCCCAGTCAGATAAAAGTGAAGCATATGAATAGCTATACAAATAGAGAAAATGTTTAAGGAACAGACCACAAAACACCAGAGGAGATGGTTTTGTAGGGGAGTCTGTCTAACTCTGGACAGAGTCTGTGCTATGTGAATTATTTCAGAGTCAGAGAGAGAGAGAGAGAGAGAGAGAGAGAGAGAGAGAGAGAGAGTCAGGCCAAATAGCCCAGCAGACTAAAGGGCCTGCAGGCAGGTGCAGAGGCTAGGGGTTCGATCCCCAGGCCTACTGTCCTAGCCCTGTCCCCGGGGGCACATTGAGAAGGCAACTGAGACTGGGCAGGGTGGCGCGCACCTGTAAGTCCAGCTCTTGGGAGGCTGTAAACAGGCAGATCACTACGAGTCCGATCTACTGAGTACACCCTGTAGACCCCTCCCTAAAATAAAAAAAAAAAAAAAAAAAAAAAGAAAGAAAGAAAGAAACGAAGGGAAACTTCCAAGTTTCTTTTATTAGTTAAGTGTATCAGTTACACCTAACCACAGCTCAAGCCACTCACACTGTGTGGCTCAAGCCAAGAGACTTTGAAGGTATGACAGGTTGAAAGGTTCTAAGAACACAGCAGCCTCTGCAAAGTGAAAAAGGCACTAAAGTATAGTGGACTTGGCTGAGTTAATGACTCATGTTTTGTTTCTGTTTGTTTCGGGCAAGGTCTTCCTGTGTAGTTCAGACCAGCTTTGAGCTCACTATATAGCCAGGGCTGGCCTCCAACTTGCAGGGATTCTCCTGCTCCAGGCTCCAAGTGCTGGGACTGCATGTGTGCATCACCACACCCCGCTGAGCTATGATTCGTGACACACTCTACAGAGCAATCATTAATAGAGTGTCAAAGATGCAGGGTGAGATGGGGGCATCACTGCAATAGAGCTCCTACAGAGGCCAGCACAGGAGGATTACAAGCTTGAGTCTCATCTTAGAAAGATGCTGTCTTACATAAAAATAAAAATGTGTTGGAGATGCAGCTCAGTGGCAGAATGTCCCTGGGTTTGAACCCTTGGTACCTCCCCCAAAAAAGAAAAGACTGCAAAGCCAAAAGTTGACACTGACACACACACACAGAGAGAGAGAGA